TACACTTTTAACGTAATATTCTTACGATCTCATCACAATTCAGTAAGAGGGTGTGGTTTTTTTTTTGATTAATATTTAGATAAGATCCAATATATAATACAGAGTATGACAGTTCAGTGTAACAAACCCTGCGTTAATCTTTTTGTACAATCTCAATCCAGGGGAAAGCCAACAATATTATGTGGTAGCAGTGAGGTTGCTTGCATGGGGAGTGGAGTCTATAGCATGTTGGCTACTTATACCCCGAATACTGTGTATTGTGTGATTATCTATTTACATATACATGTATTTATAAATCCTTATAATATGCATATTCTCAGCCGCCAAGGTCCTAAATACCCGTAATATCACAGTTCAACAGTCGATGGGTTAAGCCAGAAAATAATAAACTTACGTTTAATACTTTTAAACGAAAACTCAACTATTTCATCACAAGTCGACTCAATGTCTTACTTTTGTGAACTAACCGGGATAATGACTTTGACCTAAATTACATATATTAAGTACAGGTGGGCCGTCCACAAGCTAAACAATCCTAAGTTCAAATTATGCTGCTGTTTTACTATATATATATATACGCCTTTTTGATTTTCCTATAATCCTAAACAGTAAAGTCCAATTTCTAAACAAGAGATTAGATTAAAACGGGCATTAATTTAAAGAAAAAAATAATAATAATTTGAACGGCGGGGTGGGGGCGATTTCCTTTTACGAATAATTATTTGTGGCCGCGATTTGACTCCGCTTCTTACACATGAAACTTAGTTTTGATATGGTACCCGTTTTACAAAGGCCAACAATTAATTTATCCACTACTTATGGTGGCTGTTAGCGGCCATTCAAATGTCATCTAAATCGTCGACAAGTCGACGAAATCAATCCGCCAAAACGACAAAATAACCCGACGATCGTCGCCTTCATTTCGTCGACTTGGCGGGTCAATTCTGTCGACTTGTCGACTTGTCGCGTCAACTTAATCACAACCCGACAAGTCGACAAGTCGACAAAATACAATTATTTCGACTTGTCGTGCGGCGACTTGTCGCCTCGGAAGTTAATCTGTGCGCATGCAAGTTATCCAATGAGCAAATGTGCATTTTGTATTTTGTCGACTTGTCGACTTGTGAATAAGGCGACAAGTCGACAGAATTGACCCGACAAGTCGACAGAATTGACCCGACAAGTCGACAGGATTGGCCCGACAAGTCGACGAAATGAAGGCGACGATCGTCGGGTTATTTTGTCGTGTTGGCGGGTTGATTCCGTCGACTTGTCGCTTTCGACTTATTCACAATACAATTATTTCGACTTGTCGTGCGGCGACTTGTCGCCTCGGAAGTTAATCTGTGCGCATGCAAGTTATCCAATCAGCAAATGCGCAAGCTCGAGTTTGACTTCCGAGGCGACAAGTCGCGGCACGACAAGTCGGAATAATTGTATTTTGTCGGGTTGTGAATAAGTCGAAGGCGACAGAATTGACCCGACAAGTCGACGAAATGAAGGCGACGATCGTCGGGTTATTTTGTCGTGTTGGCGGGTTAATTTTGTCGACTTGTCGCCTTCTTCACAAGGCGACGATTGTGAAGAAGGCGACGATTTAGATTCATTTGAATGGCCGCTAACAGCCACCATAGCTACTTCATTATATTTTCATTGTGTGCATGTAATTCTCGCTTCGGTGCTTGTCAGTAACCTGACAGTTTATCCTCACTCATTATAAACCTTTGATTTGATATTAAATTCTTAAAAGGAAACATCATGTTTTTCTTTTTTATTTATAATTATTACCATGTCCACCGAGTTTAGCATTTTATATTTTATAGGACTGCCATTTTGTAACTGGAATTGCAAACGTGTAGCGCAAACCCCGTAAATATGCAACGTGATATTTCATCATCATGAGTGAAAGGAGTCTAGCATTTTTGTTTTTATATAATCTACGATAACATACCATAAAATGGGCCAATAATAGCAAGGATTTTATAAAACTCTTATCTGTACATAAAAATAAAGTTTCAATGAATTAAAGCGCGAGTCAGATATATCTCTTCAATTGAGTAATAGTTCGATGACATCGCTGTATTTAGATATTCGGTTGGCTGTCGTAATTAGTTTTTAAATTAATTACATTTGAACATTCATTATCTAAACTTACCCGATATTCTGATAATAATAATCAAAATTCATGGCGAGAGACATGAGCTTCGGTTTGTAATTAGTTCTGTCAAGACTGGCACAAGAAAAGCGTGCATAGAAGTTCGGGTGAGACAAAAGAAAACGAGGTTCACTCGTGTACACAATGGAGTGCACGAAAAGACCAATGTCAAAGACCAATCAAATACTGTTCTAGCTCGCTAAGTGAGGGGATTGAATGGACAGGTGCGTCTAGTCGTTTCGATTTTACGAAAAAAAACCCCAACGAATTCCCATGGGCGTACAGGCAGTGCACGTGAAAGACCCATTCGCAGTTTAAATACGGGGAATAGGCGGAACACCGCTTCATTGCCAAAATTCTTTCTCAATGGAAATTACAGTATATTAGCCTAAAACAATTAAAGTGTGCATGTGACTTCGAAAACCATTCCACACAACAAATTCGAACTGTTAAAGTAGCTATGTCTCCAATTCAATATCATACAAAGTCTTGGACACTGAAAACACGAAACTTACTGGGAAAAGATGAGCTTCTGATATACAATATTTAAGACAAAATAAACATTTTACCATTGGTACACGAATCGTGTATTCGAAGAACGAGACTAGACATATTCAACAAGTCATATCAAACGGTGACGCCATATTCTTATCTCGAGAGCATGCGCAATAAATACTATCGATGTAGACTGGAATAACCAGACGCTAGAGATTGCCATTCGATTGAGACTTCTGGCGTATTTCGCCGAACATAAATATCTAGTCCGATCCTATATATCTCAAGCTGCGTTCACACTGCATGCGCATTCAATGCGAATTCCGGTGACCGGCCTCAGGAATTCGGATTGGTTTTTCCCGGATTAAATGCGGTGCGTCACATTACAGAGAGAAAGAGAAATGGGGTTTAACGTCCACTCGACACAAACTAGGTCATTTCGGGACTAACATATGGTTTAATTTTATTTCAATAATTCGTAGGGGTCTTTAGCAGTGGGGGGAAACCGGAGGACCCGGAGAAAACCCACGAGGTTGGACAGGCGACCCTACTCCTTGTCACGTACAACCGGGGATTCGAAACCATGCCAGTTGACTCAATGACAGGCCTTATGATACAGCACATCACGCACGTGCTAACCATTCGGCCATCCAACCCCCCGCGTCACATTACAGCTTATTCGGATTGAATTCAGAATGAAAACGCCACACTGAATGCGCAGTGAAGGTCATTCATATCCAAGACGGATGCGCCAGACATTCGTATTGGTGATCTTATGTTGCTTATGTTTAATTTCCTGAGGCAAGCAAGGCTACATCAGCGACGCCGGGTCTTACATCTTAGGCACCTTGCCATGCAGCGCCGGGCACGATTTGGTTGGCACCAAAATCAAATGTGAATGTGGATGATTACTCTTTTGGTAGCGTTTGCTATAAATCAACACGTATATACATGTACTTCTTACTCATTGAATCATAGTGGCTTCCATTTCATAATTGAAATCCTTTCGGCATTAATCATATACAATAGATTAGACTCCACTAGATTCGAAACGACTAAAGCTTGCCTGCCCTGCCCCCAAGGTCTAGACCGTGAATGGTCAGCTGTGATCTTAACACATCTATCTTTGTACAGCTGTTCCTCCACATCGTCATCTCTCCAAAGCTGGAGAAGGAGAAATCTCTCCTTAGCCCAAACTGCACCTTGGTTATTTGCCATAGCACCAGTTTCATAGATACATGTACACGATTTCCCGCGATAAGTCGGAAGTAAAAGTGAACATGTGCGTAAAGTTATCGTTTCCGGTAAAACGCTTGATCTGAATCAAGCGTGTCCCACTCAAATCTTGACTGCGAATAACCCGATTCGGAATAATTGTTCCAGGTTGAATTCGGAAAATATACGGATTCGTTAATTCAGATTCAGTTCGGTTTTAAGCGAATTTAGTGTGACGCCAAAGTCCGGAATAAGACTTTATTCTGAATTCAATTCAGATTAAACCCCTAGTGTGAACACAGCTTCAGATACTCCCATTATGATGAAATCAGTGATCCGCATTTAATATATTTGTTTTTGTAGCATTAACAATGTGACAATATACGTACCCAAACACAAAGAATCTTCCGGTTCATCACGAAAACCGTATGAAAGATTCATAAACATTCAACAACTGTATAATAAATTAAATTCTTTGATCGTCAATGCGCGTGTATTTGACATCTTGGATATTTATTTATAGGCTTATCATGACCAGTACATCAAAGATAGACTCATAAAGAACATTTTTATTCTAATCGCATCTTGATCGAATCGAATAAATAAAACAACGAAAACCTATGTCTTTACATGGAATATTAAATTGGGACCTTTTCGTACTTCTTTTTATTATATATAAATAGACCACCAGTTGGTATAAAATTTTAATACCAATCATATTTAGTGCAAGTTATAAGTTTCTCCGTGGTGGTTTACTCTAGTCAGTGGTGTAGGACAGGGTTCTGGCAAAGAACAGTGTCTTGTCGTTCGGGTGGAACGAAAACCCGAGGTTCCGTGTACATTTGAAATTCGATATAAGAGTAGACATAAATTAACTTATCCAGACCATAATCAACTCTCGATGCCATCGCTAGAATGCGATATTTAGCGGATTGGAATAAAGTTTGTGAAGGATAATTAAACGTAGAAATTGATAATCGAGACTTTAGACTAGCCTAAAATTCAAAAGCTAATATCTCATTTAAGAGTAGAGCAATTTGACTGAAATTTTCAGCATATTCTATTTACGTTATCATAGCGAAAACTGTCAACTCTTGATCTAATCTCCCATAATGCCCCTTTAAGTATATATCCTCAAGATTTATAATTCTCAGAAAACAATTTAATTGATCTTATGAGCTACAGCTACAAGATCTAACTTCGCTTTACCACTGAAAACAGATTGCTACAAGATGTGACGGGAGTTAATAACGGAGCAGGGTATGTACAATTTATCCAAACACTAGCATTATATTTATCATGTTTGCAACTCCTGTGTCATAACTGGGTGTCGTACTGGCGCATTTACTTTAATTTTGTTTTATTCAACCTTAATCCGTGTGCTTTGAAATTGAATTTGCAATTATGTTTGATCTTAAATATAAACGTGATGATGACAAAACTGTAAATAATTTGATTACTATTATTGATTACTGGGTTGGGTTTTTCTTGGGCGGGTCTCGATTTGTTGATTACTTTCCCTTTGGCTATATCACTGTAAATAATTTTTGGTTCAAGTTGTTTTTAATAACGAACAGTATTGTCTTAAATACTATGTTTAATCTTTATTCTGGCATGTTGGGTCTTTAAACTTGCTCAGTTATTTTTTCTAAAAATGTGTTTGAAAACATATGTGCTAACCGTGGGAAAGTTTTCAGTTGTAGTAATTTGAGAAATTTAACACAGTTAAACTTTTCAAAGGAAATATTAAATACCAAATTTGTTTATCCTACAAATGTTCAACAATTTTGGAGATGATTTTGGAATACGTCAATGCTAATCGTGCCATTGTCAGTATTTCTGTTAATATAAATAGTACGATAAAAAAAAGTTATAAATGTGCCAAATCTGTTTGATTGAAATGTTTAACGTCCTACTTTTGTGTGTATTAACTCCATATGTCATGCAGTGTGTTCTGAGGGACATTTTTGCCTATATACTTTTATTTCCAATTTCAACTGTCAAGGGTTCATTTACATGGACATAAATGAGTGCACGGGACCTCGGATTTTCGTCCCTAAGACAAGGCCATTACCAGGCCCTCAGTCCTGCATCAATAACAAATGAAATCCTGAATAACTCTCGGCCAACAACGGGAGCGAACCCGGGGCCTACAGTTTAGCAATCCAGCGTCTTTACTCACTGAGCCATTTGATTAAGTTTAAAGTCTAAAATTACTGATACATCTAGTCTTTTAAAATGGATCTCTTTCGATTTGTGATTTGCAAGGTCTTAATTAAGATACTAAATTTCGTTTATATATGTGCCCACACCCAATACTTTTAGATTATTATATTTGACATATTTTGGCTTCAACCTAGAATTATTATTGAATTCGTCTCGAAAAGTTGCGACAAAGTTACTTTTGTCGTTTTGTTAACTTTTTTCATCCAATTCTCTCACTTTTGGGTAGCTGCTAAAATGGATTTGTCTGTCTGTGACACCTACTATTGAATCACAATAACTCTGCATGATTTTTGGGATAGATTGTTCAAGTTTGGTGTTCAGGTTTCATGATGCACATCTCCTGTTTAGACTAAGCTTTGAAAATGGCACACTTGATATTAATTTGAGCTAAAGAGACGAAGCTTGGTGTTCGATCATAATCAGTGCTAAACAGTTTGATTCCATGGAAACTTTGGGAAACAATAATTTTGTTTCTAATTGGGGTATAATTTCTTCATACTTGTATGATCATTAGGTGAATGTCTTGACTAGGATTATAACCAATTCGATTTTTCGGTACTAAATGGATCAAAGCAATTTTTTGTGAACAGTATGTTGACACATTAGTGATTAATTCATCACAATTCCAAGACATTATGAGAAGGTCTAGAGTCTGCACACAGTCTATACATCAGTATCTGGAGTGGTCACCGCGAGTGTCAATAACAGCAGCGCAATGTCTGTACATGGAGTGGACCAGACGACTGGTGAACACCATTGGCACCTGGAACCATATTCTAAGAAAAACCTGGCGCAATCCATCGGCTGTGTTTGGTCTTGGTACAATGATATTAAGTCTCCTCCCAAATTTCATCCCAAAGATGTTCAATCGGGTTTAAGTCCGGACTAAGGGATGGCCAGTGCATAACGTTGACACCGTTCTGCAGTAGAAAGTCCCGAGTAACTCTGGCGGTGTGGGCGCGGGCGTTGTCATGCTGGAAAACGTTGTTTGGATGACGTGCGAAATATGGTATGACGTGGGGTCTGAGAGCTTGATCGATGTAGCGCCCTGCTGTGATGCCGCCTCCTCTTCTTGGACCAAGATTTTAGAACACCACAGGAACCACTCTCTAGTTCAGGCCGATTCCACCCCAAACCATTATACTTGGACCTCCACATGAGTCTCGTTCCATGACACATTGGTCAGAATAACGCTGGCCACGTCGACGCCATATTCTGGTCCTGCCATCTGCAATTGATACACAATACCGACTCTCATCTGTGAACAGAACAGTTCTCCATTGCCTGTGTTGCCAGTTCTGGTGTTGTTGGGCAAACTGTAGACGTTCACGTCGATGGCGAGGGGTGAGGATCAGTCCACGGTAAGGTCTACGGCAATGGATGTTCTCTCTGGTGAGAGATGGGTCTTACGCGTGTTCCCACTGTCTGACGTGCTGTCGCACAACATGGCGGTCTTGTCGCCTTGTGATAACCCTTGGTCTACCAGTTCGGGGGCGAAGATCCGTGGTGTTGGTGGCCCGAAAGCGTTGTTGAAGCCTGTAGATGGTCCGAACATTGACCTGGAAGTGATTGACAACGGCTTGTGCAGTGTGGCCAGCGTCGAGTCTTCCAAGCGCCTGATTCCTCGGGGAAATGAAATGAAATGAAATGGGGTTTAACGTCCTACTGTTCTGCTCCTAAACTGGGCTAATGAAGACGGGCATACGCCATACAGTGTGCTATAAGGAAAATTTTGCCCGGGCAGCGGGCTACTCTTATATCGAATTCCAACTGCCAAGGTATCTTTTACGTGCACGCCAATGTGTACACGGGACCTCGGTTTTTCGTCCCATCCGAACGACCAGACAGCTGTCCTTGTCAGGCCCTCCGTCCTGCATCACTGATAAGGGGAAACTACGCTGGACAATCTGGATGAACTTTCTCGGCCAATGCAGGGATCGAACATCCGACCTCCAGGCTAGCGAGCCAGCGTCTTACCCACTTAGCCACGTGATCCCCGGTTCCTCGGGGCTGTCGTGGGTCGTGGCATACTGCTGACGTTGCAGAGTGATTGATTCAATCGGGTATGGGGTGAATTTTAGAGGGCGTGCAGCACGAGTTACATGAAAATCATTGAGAACACTTTACCATCTCTGAAGTCAGGGTGCGTTTTTGAGAATATTTTCTGGGTTCAATTGTGTGTTTGGGAAGGAACCTTGTTGCTCAGGTAAAGTTGGAGATGTGGTCACAAATATACAATAAAAACATTTGGCAAGTTTTATGCAATGCGTCTATTCAGAGTAACATACCAACCTGACGTTTCTTTTGTTACTTAGTATAGTATATACTGCCAAGGTGAAGCAGAGTGGTAAGCAATTTGATTCCCTCTTGCAAGTAATTAATATTGGCATGTTAACATTTGGCCAATATAACAACCAATAGGCCCACGGTCCGTTATTTTGGTCCCTACCCCGTCTCGTACGAAACTAACGTACGAATATTAATTGGTGGCTAGCTTTTTTTTCGCACGTATACAGTGAAGGCCATTTTGCTCAGTAATCCCAGCCAGAATTTGGCTATTTTCTAAATTTGCGTTAAAGTTTAAAATATTTGTTTTAGAACTGAAACACATTAACTATTAGCCAATCCCAACGCTAAAAACATCAACAGAATTGATTGTGTATATCTGAAATAGACCCGACCGACGCACAAAATATAGTGCAATATGGCGGCCTCTATGAACCTCGTAGACGCTGTCATTGAAGACAACGTCAATTCTATGAGTTGTAGATGTTATTTTTGTGAAAAATCATTGGAAGAAGAGAGAACATGTTGGGACTGTACGAATTATATAGTCTTTATGGGTGCAACGGACACAATGCTGAAGATAATCCTATTGTTTACAATGTTACGAGTTGTTGACCATTGACCTCAATGTCATGACCTGTGATGTGTAGATCACGTGATATGGATATCATGGCTATTGACTGTGTCTGAGATACTTCTCCGCAGGTATAGCGTGTCTCAGATGTTCAGAATGTACCCCGTCTATGTCACGTCAGTAGTACTTCTTTGGGTATAGGTGAAAATATTAGTTATAGCATCGAAACTTTTTTGCACTAGGTGTATTATAACCGATCTATCAGTGCGATATGGTCAGGTTTATTATGAGGTACACACTGTCTATAAATATCATTAATATTTAAACTTATTTTCTTTTCTAGCTTCAACAGATGATTAAAATTAAAGCACAACGAATCAACGTAGCCCCAAGCAATCTTCTCATTTAGATATAAACTCGACATATAAAGACAGGCGTGAGTAGCAGACGTAATTGTTGGTGATGTCAAACATTTAAAATAGGCTATCAACAAATTGTTTGGCATAGCGATTTAGACAATTTAGTTCTTGATAAAGACGGGTGTGAAAACAATGTTCAGATAACCTGAATCATAACAATGAATTATAGCCTTTTTTACAACAATATATTTTTTAAAATACACAGGTTGTCACGACAAACTAGACTATAATTGTGATGTTAACAGACCAACTTGGTTATCTTTTCGTTTAATCATATTAAATTGTGCTGAAATGTATCGTGTGTTGTTTTTAAGAAGAAAAGCTGTTTGTATAGTATCCACTATTTGGATATTAATCATGCTTTTTACATGTAAGTATAATCTTATGTTATTAAAACATTTCATGAGTATAATATATGCCTTTAAAAAATGGTCATACTTTTTTAACACACATTTTCATCTTAAAGCGAGAGCCTCAATCACAATGTGTTCACTGTCATGTTCCTTTGACAGTGAAACACATCTTGATTGAGTGCAATCATCTCAAACATATTAGATCTAAATATTACCGTTGCCAGTCAGTACGTCAGCTATTTGCTCAACCGGAGCTTTATGATGAATTGCTAGCATTTTTAAAAGAGACAAACTTTTATTCAAAATTTTAATTGTATATATTTATCATATATTATTTTTTAAATATTTATATATGTAAAGGAATTGATATATTTATTTTTAAGTATTTTTTCTGTGATATTTGTTTTTATTTACATATATGAATACATTCCTGTGATATTGTTTTAATTTGTCTCGTTAAATTCACCATATGTTTGGCGCAATATAGCCCGGTTGGAGCTGACGTGCCATTAAACAACATTTCATTTCATTTTTCATTTGCCTTTAAAAAAATGAAAAGAAATGGGGTTTAGCGTCCGACCTTTCTGCACCGACTGGGCTAATGAAGGCGGACATGCAGTGTGCAATGAGGGTCATTTTGCCCGGAGAGCGGCGTTACGACCTACTCTTATTTCGATTGTCAAGGGCGCTCTAAATGTACGCCGATGTGTACATGGGACCTCTGTTTTTCGTACCATCCGAATGACTAGACACTGCCATTGCCAGAAGGATCCACAGTGGCTAAGTTAGACGCTGGCTCGCTAGCCTGGGGGCCGCACGTTCACTTCCCGTGTGGTCCAAAAAAGTTCATCGGGACTTTCCCTTGTCACTGACAAGCACAGCTGTCTTGTCATCATTCGGATGGTACGGAAAATCGAGGCCCAGTGTACACATTGGCGTGCACGTAAAAGATCCCTTGACAGTTGGAATTCAGTATAAGAGTAGGCCGAAGTGCTGCTGTCCGGGCAAATTTTCCCTCATGGAACAGTCGGAACAGGAACAATAGGACGTTAAACTCGATTTCTTTTCACTTCCTGCGCCATTATTAAATGGGAACCACACTGGAATTGCCCGACGAACTTTCTCGGGCAACATGGTGACGAACCCGAGACCTCCTGTTTAGCGATCCAGCGTCTTACTCACTGAGCCACCGCGATCCCCGGCCTATTACACATGCATTTCATATCCATACATATTACATAATAAATGGAAATTCTGGTCTAACAAATAGCTTAATAAAAAAGGATGTTCTGCCCTGGCAAAATCCATAAATTTTATAAATTATGAAACCTGACCTTCCGGGCCGGGGACATCGAAAAATGTGAAAAAATTGTATAATGTCACATGGAATTCCTTGTCCGCAAAGGGGTTGGGTGGCCGAATAGTTAACACGTGCGCGTTGCATCATAAGTTCTGTCATTGAGTCAAGTGACGTGGTTTCGATTCCCCGCTTGTACGTGACAAGGAGAAGGGTCGCCTGTCCAACCCTGTGGGTTTTCTCCAGGTTCTCCGGTTTCCTCCCTCTGCTAAAACCTCTACCTGCAAGTGAATTAATTAAATAAAATTGAACCATATGTTAGTCCCGAAATGACCTAGTTTGTGTCGAGTGGATGTTAAACCCTATTTCTCTCCCTCTCCCTTTGTCCACAAAACTAATGTTTTAACGTCAAGGTATATGAATAAAAAACATGATTGGTGTATAAATTTGAAATACGAACATCTGCTATAAATTATATGCAACACAATTCTCAGTTGTTATAGATGTATTATGATAAATAAACGTTATTGTTGTATACGATAGATCCAGAAGGATTAAGAAATTTCGAGGTAAATCCGTAGGCCTACTGTATTCAGGCATATTATTATATTGTACATAATAATTATCGTTTGATATTTTACCGTAAAAACCATAAAAAATACCGGTACACAAAAAGTATTGAATATGTATATTCATTTTTTTATGTCTTATGACAAGAAAGAAAAATAATTTATATGTTTATCAACACTGTGGCGTACTGATATTGAACGTAGGCCTACACTGTACGTTGAATGTGAATATCTTTATAAGAAAGAAAAAATAGAGGGTGGGGTGTGGGGAAAAAAATTAGAAGGTCACTACCTTCAATATTTTTACCAGATGATCGTGACATGTGGATATAAAGATTAAGATCACCCGAATGTTAAAAATATTTGTGACAGGCCAAGCATGGATTAACAATGAAGTCAATGGCAAGAAGATTAGTAGTCTGATTCCATAAGATGAATCGTCCCCCTTAAAATCCACTCTCCTGTATGTTATTTATTTAAAGACCGACAGCGTCATTTATTATCTATGATGATTGCAATGATTAAAGATAATGCTTTCTGCTTTCTGAAGTGTTTCACACCCTAAAAATGAGTCTCTTTTGGGTGCTGTCTTGAAGACATGCGTTTGAAAATAAAGGCCAATAGTAATAGGGGGGATCTGACTGTTTCAGACTTTTAGTTTTAAACAAACGGAGAGGGTGATGAATATTAAGAACATTTTAATTTATTTCAAATGAAGACACTCCACACCAATATGGTTCGCAGTAGAAAGAACAAAACTCTCAAAACAGTCATATATCCAGGCTGTAAAAAGCTTGTTTTATTTTTCATTATCACAGCATTGATTTTAACTGGTTGGTTATTTTGTAAGTATATGCATATAGGCCTAACATATTGCATTATCATTGCCATACTCAATTTTTGTTCCACTACTAAATGGGCCATTTAATGTCCTACTCTTCCGCTCCGACTGGGCTAATGCAGATGGGCATATGCCATGCAGTGTGATATGAGGAAAATTTTGGCCGGAAAACGGCACGGCACTATGGCCTTCTCGTATACCGAATCCAACTGTCAAGTGTTATTTACGTACATGCCACCTCGGTTTTATTTTGTCCCACCTGAACGACTATACGTTGTCCCTTTCCAGGCCCTCCGTCCTACACCACTGACAAGGGGCAATCCAGATGAACTTTCTTGACCAATATCGGGATCTTACAGTAACACAGGTGCTCAAGGTTAGCGAGCCAACATCTTACTCGCTGAGCTACCGTGACTATAATCTTCTAATTATTACAGAGTTTTGCAGCTGATCGATAAATGTTCTATATAGGCCTCAATTTGTTAATGAAATTTTGCTGGATTAATTATTTATGTACTCTTAATTCAGATGTGTTTGTGACAGAGGAATCTCAGAGATCAGAGGGAAAGAGATTTAGACAACAGATTCGTTTGAAAGCTAAGATAGATTCCCTTCACTTGGCTCAGGAAACATTCCAAGATATACCGCCTCATAAAGATGCTCAGGACATAGATTATGGTATACCTGTTGAAGAGAACAACAAATTTCTTGAGGAGTTTGTAATTGTACCAGACACAGATGACTTGAACCTTTCTTCCAAAAAAGGGAATCAAGAAAAAAACCATGGGGATTCAACATTTGAAAATTCCAGTGATCCATTAAGTTTGCCCCGTATTGCTGAATACTGCAACATTCCAAAATTACCCCATACTGGACAAGAAGGTTAGTTACTGATTGATCGAATTAGTTAATATATAGTAATACATAATGAAGATCAGGGATTTAGCCAGAAACTTTAAAGGGGCGGAGCCAATTCTTTTATGTACAATCAACAAAGGTCATTGGCCGAACAATGGTAGGTTCTGAGCAGGTCCAGCACTTTATTTACTTTTTTGATGCCAGAGCTGCTTGAAATCTGATGTATTTTGGTATCAGTTCCAAATATTTTGGGGATAAAAAAGCCTGTATTAATTAAATATTAGATTGATGATTACTGTTTAATTTTGAGTATTCTCCTCCAGAGTTATGGTGTGGGGTCCACATTTTTCATTGCATGGCAACCCTGCAAGCCAATAATTTAAATAAATGAAATGGGGTTTAACGTCCTACTGTTCTGCTCCTAAACTGGGTTAATGAAGACGGGCATACGCCATACAGTGTGTTATGAGGGAAATTTTGCCCGGCAGCGACACTACGGCCTACTCCTATATCGAATTCCAACTGCCAGGGGATCTTTTTACTTTTACGGGCACGCCAATGTGTACACGGGACTTCGGTTTTTCATCCCATCCGAACGACTAGACAGCTGTCCTTGTCAGACTCTCCGTCCAGCATCACGGACAAGGGCAAACCACGCCGGAAAATCTGGATGAACTTTCTCGGCCAATGCAGGGATCGAACACCCGACCCCCAGGCTAGCGAGCCAGCGTCTTATCCACTTAGCCACGCTATCCCCCTAATTTAATTAAAGATATAGCATATTAATTATTAGTTACAAAATGACCTAGTTTATTCTCTCTCTGCAAGCCAATAATTTATATAGCATATTAATTATTAGTCACAAAATGACCTAGTTTATTCTCTCCCTTTCTCTCTCACTCCATTCTAAAAGCTGATGAACATTGTGGTGCCCTGACATTCAACAGAAGGACTAATCCATTCTAAAAGTGGGTAAATATTGTCATCCCTTGACCCCTACATCCATCTGTGTATTTGTTTCTCCCTCAGCAAGTCTTTATTTCTATTGATAGAAATTCTTTAATAAAATGTTATTTTTATTTCAGGTGAGGTACCATCTATTTATAAACTGAAGTCAGTTTATACTGTGATGCGACATGGGGATCGTACAACTCTCTACACATTTCCACATCATCGTAATCCTACCATCAGTTGTCAGTTTAAATTTAATGTGGCTAAACATCCTAAAATCAACTTGTTTGCTCAAACTATGGATTTCTTCACCGGAAAGCAAAATACAGGAAGTCAGTTTATAAACTGGGCTCTATATCCAAACCGTGCTGTTTGTGATAGTTCCTTTCTGACGCCTGTTGGTGCCTTACAGCACATCATCAATGGAGTTCATTTTAATCAGAAATATATTCAAAATTTAAAGTTGTTTAAAGAAAACTTTTCACCAGATCAAATAAAAATCAAGGTCACAGAATATTCAAGGACATATCAAAGTGCTATGGCGTTCTTGTATGGCTTTTTACCCAAGTTTAACCTCACCGAACTAAACGTGCAGTTAACTCGTAACATCTTTTTTTGTTCGGAAAAAGCTGTGGGATCTTCATGTGAATGCCCTTCCATTCAACATTTTAAAAAACTCAGTAATCGTGAAGTAATGTCAGCTAAACAAAACCTCACAAGACTAAAACACATCCGTAAAGAGATTGCAGAAGTTTTTGAACTAAGCGTTGATCAACTGCCATTTAATTATGCCATGTTTGATATACTGTCTTCCTATGCCTGTCATGGTATAAAATTACCATGCAACAGTGAGGGTGTATGTATAACAAAAGATATGCTCTCTGGTTTAACAGAATATCTCGATAAAAGTGGTGCTGCCTACGAAAAATCCCCAAGTTTTAAAAAGCATAATCAGCTCTCCAGTTATCCATTACTGATGGATATAGGCAATCATATGATAGCGGTAGCTCATGGTAAAACCAATGAAAAGTTTGTGTTATATTCTGGACATGATAAAACTGTCTCCCCTGTTCTCTCAGTTCTTGGAATAAATCCTGGTAAATGGGTGAAATATGCGACACGGGTAGTGTTTGAATTGTATAACCGACATGATGTTAAAGACCATTACTATATAAGAATATTGCACGATGGCAAGGATTTAACCTCTCAGGTTAACTTCTGCAGAGAAAGAACAAGTAATGGACTCTGCAAGATAAAACATTTTTTAGAGTTTTTAAAAGAGGACATCTTAAATGAAACCAGAACAAAACAATTTTTGAAAGCTTGTAAAGATTTTACAAGGTAGTGTCTTTGTATTTCTTTTAGTCAGTTGGATTATTTTCAGTTTTAGTTCCAGTGAATGTTTTATTATAGAATCTCATACAATTCCTTTCTTGTATCAAAGGTGATAGAGTAAAATATCTGAAGGGGATATTACCTTTATATTATGCAATGCATTATTGGCTGATCATACAGGTTTCATTGGGATATGAGCTCTCCACATCTCATTTATTATATCTCTAAATGGGGGTCACGTTGGCTAAGTGGTTAAGATGCTGGCTCGCTAGTCTGGAGGTTGGGTGTTCGATCCCTGCATTTGCTGAGAAAGTTCATCTCGATTTTCTGGCGTGGTTCCCCTTGTCAGTGATGCAGGACGGAGGGCCTGACAAGGACAGCTGTCTAGTCATTCAGATGGGACGACAAACCGAGGTCCCATGTACACATTGGCGTGCGCGTAAAAGATCCCTTGGCAGTTGGAATTCGGTATGAGAGTAGGCCATAGTGCCGCTGTCCGGGCAAAATTTCCCTCATAGCACACTGTATGGCGTATGCCCATCTTCATTAGCCCACTTCGGAGCAGAACAGTAGGACGTAAAACCCCATTTCATTTCTTTTTCATATCTCTAAATGTTCTTTATTTTTATACAAAGAAAATATTGCTATAGATAACACATAACTGTTTGGTTTAGGTTTATACTCATACTCAGATCCGGATTAAGTCGGTGGCAGACTGTGTTGCATTTTTGTAAGAGCGTATGCCCCTTGTCACTGTGAATGCAAGGGTCCCAGTGATGTTTTCAGCCAAGGGCCCCATACAAACTTAATCCGGCCCTGAATATAGTGACTAGTAGTGTTTAATAGAAGATATAGTATTACTATCTCTCACATACATCATTATGCAAAGTGGTGTGATTGGTTCAGCACAAATATGTGCTGTGGGGGAAGTTTTAGTTATGGTAAAAATACGTAGATAAGTAATTTTGAATAAATGAATAAGCAAAATAAAAAAAATAAATAGAAAATAAAAAAAATAAATAGAAAATAAAAAAAAAAAATTCCTCACCCCAAGGTTATATTTTACGGAGTAAAACGTTTCGTATGGAGATAGTTTGGTATTACTAATACCATAGAGTAGGCTAGTAATATTTCTAAAATACATTGGTAATAAATAAATAAATGGTAGAGTAAAAAGTGTTCAGTGGTTCCAAGGTTGAGATCACAGTCACCCTGAGTCACATCTAGGATTGTTAACTTTGTCTACTTATTGCTTCTATTTGATAAATCGGCCAGTTTTTAAATGTACTGTTTTCTGCATTATATTCATAATTTTATTGATCTGTTGATATTTTGTTGACATTTATATTTAGTTATGCTTTACACATTTAATGTTGCCTGTGGTGACCTGTCACTTGTAATTAAAATATGTGCCAGTATTTGTTTTTTTCTCAAATAGATTTTTTTTTATTGATGGCATTCACTTTGTATTTAATTTTGTACATTAGTACAATGAGAAAAGTTACCTCCAGGCCTAGTTTCTTATTAATATTTGTTGACCATTTTTTTGTTTGATCTTCCCATAAATGAAAGCTCTGCAGGTCACTTTCCTCCAGCAGCTTGTTAAGAGCGTGTCCGGGAGAGCACCATGGAGAGGGACAGGGTGATAACCCTTGGGTCGGGGATTTGGACAGAGTCTTTCCTGTGAGATGTGTTGGTACCCAGATACATCCCCCCAAAAAATTACGTTGTTTCAGTTGATCCCAACCTGGCAACTTAGGAAAATATTTTTTTAATAGAAAAATATTCAAAAAAATGGGCTAATTTAGAACTAAATTTGGATGATCTTTTATTCGGACAATAATTGATTTGGAGAGACGAAATTTGGGGCATTAGTAGGACCACCCAGGCTTCTCCTACACATAGAGTTTTACGTTTCTACAGCCAAAGATATCTTGGTACTGGCCAGATATTCAACTCTCTCTGAAAATTGAATTTAACGAAAACCAAAGTTTGAGAGTCCTTAAGTTCGTTCTTGGCAGGGACTAGGACCAAAGTTGAATGTTACCCACAACTAGCAACCTTCCTACGAACAAAATGAAAAATAAAAATGACCGGCACAGGCATAATAAAAAAAAGGAGAAGTAAATTAAAAACACAAAAAAATTGGGATAAAATGTTCCATTTATCAATACCCCAGATGAAGAATATGTATGGACATCTTTACAAATTTAATATATTCCATTTAATCATTAGCAAGGATGATGTAGGCTTGAGAGGGAGAAAACAAATTGGGTTTAACTTCACTGGACACAAGCTAGGTCATTTTGGAACGAACGTATTATGTGGATGCATATGTTTGGTCATCTTTACAAAGTTTATATATTCCATTCAGTCGTCATCAAGGATGACTATGACCTGAGAGAGAGAAATGGGGTTTAAGGTCCACTCGACACAAACTAGGTAATTTAGGGACTAACATTATGATACATCTTTATTTCAATAATTCGTGTGCTCGAAAAGAGAGAATCCGTGAGATTGGACAGACAACAGTAGACCATGTTACCTACAAGCTTGTAAGGGAAGCCACGCCATTCAACTCTATGACATACCTTTTAATCTAAAGCGCATGTGTTAGACCACTTTTGACAAGCTTGTAAGGGAAATCACGCCACTCAACTCTATGACATACTTTATGATCTAAAGCGCATTTGTAAGACCACTTTTGACTTACCCAAAGGACAAGTTTCACGAATGTCCAATGAATAAATCTTATATGAATATGATACAGTCAATAGCTGAGGGGGGGGGGGGGGGGTCACAGCAGCATCTCTAGTAGTTCTCCTGGCTGAAAATGTTCCGTGGAGAACCGGACAACGGATCACAAACTGTTATGTCGCCCGTGGCTTGAAGAAATTGAAGTGTTCATAGGGATGCACATGTTCGCGCGTATAACAGATTTTAGGGACGGGGGGATTGTAGATGATCCAGTGGCATTGAGCCATAAACACATGATGAGCATGACTACGCATGCTAAAATCGATTACCATTATATCTTTCAATGGGTGGAATGTCAGAATTGCATATGTACACATATATATATATTAATTATGGCATTGTTAATGTTAGACGGGTTCGTCTCTTCACTGTCGACTGTCTTTAAATGACCGCTGATTATCACCTTTTATTCCAAGGTCTGGTTACTTGAATGTGCCAAATGGGTTATGTTTGTTAAAAATATTTTAGGAATTTGACCGCGCTTATTCCCATCTGTATTTAGAAGCCGATCAGTGCATAGAAACATTTTGATATTTTAATGGAAATGAAAATGAAATGGGGTTTAAAGTCCTACTGTTCTGCTCCTATACTGGGCTAATGAAGACGGGCATACGCCATACAGTGTGCTATGAGGGAAATTTTGCCCGGGCAGCGGCACTATCGCCTACTCTTATATCGAATTCCAACTGCCAGGGGATCTTTTATGTGCATTCCAATATATACACGGGACCTCGGTTTTTCGTATCATCCGAAGGACTAGACAGCTGTCCTTGTCAGGCCCTCCGTTCTGCATCACTGGCCAGGGGGAACCACGCCGGAAAATCTGGATGAACTTTCTCGGCCAATGCAGGGATCGAACACCCGACCTCCAGGCTAGCGAGCCAGCGTCTTAACCACCTAGCCACCGTGGCTCCCTATTTTAATGGAGAGTTACTGAAAATCAGGAGACAACATACCTTCCATATTGAAATCTACTGAAGAGAAGATGACATATATAGGCCAAATTACAAAATGGAGTCCCAAAACTAAGAACATTGGAAGGCAGGTCAGAATCTAAGTGAACACTTCTGATCGAACATAGGTAGTTGGTACATGTATATGCCGGGGGTTGGCATGTGCAGTCAGAATTATCCTGGATTTTCTGGAGTGCCACAAAACCTGTTGTGTTCTATGCCATCTTGTCCTTCGCGGATTTCAATATGGAAAACATGACGGTCTCCTAAACAAGGACACCGCATGCCTCTCCATGAACACTTAAAAATATTTTCTTGTGGTTCTTTTTACATGAAAATGTGGATAATAGATATATCAAGTTTATGATAGTCATGACAGCCCATAAATCTATACGATGATCTGCTCCTATATACAGATCTTAATAACCGTGGTCTGATCACTGCAAAATTATCCCTTCCACTAGCCAGCGAGCGTGAAAGTCTGATTTTGTCACGAAAACATTATGATTTTTGACCAAAATACCCAATTTGACAGGCATGTTCAAATAACGTTACATATGGTAGTAATGGTGATGATCAGTGGTCAGTTGAAAATAATCGTTGGTCATTGGTGGAAGCACTGTTTTGGTTAGATTGTGTTGATATAAAAGCTTGTCATGCCAGCCCATACATTTATACAATTCCCTGCTACTAACTATAGAATACAGAATATAGGCGTTTTTACGAGAAAACAAATCGGTTTCGATTACCTATCTCGTAGTCTCGAGTTGGTATTCGAATCGGTTCTCGTAAACGCGATGAGTTGCCTTGCAAGATGGCTGAAGACTGAAGAATTGAGGAAAAATGTTTAAAAAATTCACTTTTCTTTATTATGTTCTTGGCGACACCGCCCAAAAATAAAAACGAAAATTTGTACCAATTGACTGTCCCCAAATGCCCCGTATTTTTATTAGGAATGTCCATAATATTCATATTTTAATGTGAAATTCAAAAGAAAATGATCTAACGTCGGGCACGTCGTGTCCCTTGTTGGGGACGCCATCTTGGAAATCGAATCGTCAATCCGGCAGGCGAGCAAGTTGGAAGATTTGCATAATCGATTTGACAAATCGTCGTGGTAAATACGACAATTAGGTGAAACCGATTAGGCTAATTTTTGCCGTAAATGTGTTTGGAAAGGAAATGCAAATCGATTAGCCCTAATCGGTTTCTCGTAAAAACGCCTTATAATATACTTTGTTAAAGTGTATCAAATACTGGCTGATATTATTGACTATGGAAGACCCCAGATTACCTAAGCAAATTTACAAACTATTGTATAATCTTGATTATAATGTTAGACAAAATTGGGCATCATGCATTAAAGATCTATTATTTCGCTACGGATTTGGGTATATTTGGTTGTCTCAATCAGTTGGTAATTCAAAAGCCTTTTTATGTATGTTCAAACAAAGACTAAGAGATATCTGGACAACAAGCATGGCATTATAATATGTCAAATAATAGCATATTGCAATACTATTCAAGTTATAAAATAAACCTAGAGGTAAAAAGATACCTAATTAATTTGAAAATCGAACAAAAATATGTAAAATCTCTATGTAGACTTAGAATAGGTAGCCACAATCTTATGGTTGTCCAGGGTAAATGGAAAAACATTCCATACGAACAAAGACCTTGTAAGTTAATTTAATACTAATACCATCGAAGACGAATGCCACTTTGTAATTATTTGTAGTGCTTATAATGGTTTTCGCAATTCATTTATAAACCAATATATTGTTAATACCATATCCCAACGCCAAAACCTTGTAAATCTTATGTCCTCTAAAAATCCCGAAACAATTATTAATTTATCAAAATTCGCCTACTATTCCTTTTGTCACAGGTGTATTTTAATGAAAGAAAAGTAATACGTATCACTGAAAGAAGCTTCAATGTATTAAATTTATCCTTGTACATTTGTATTTATTGTATATTTAAACGTATTAAATCATCAATTAACTAAGCATTCTAATTGAATAATTTATTTATGCCCATTTTATATATTGTACATACGTTAATATTATAACTATCAATGATCAATGTAAAAATAGATTTATATTTATTAAATTATTTGCACTTTGACCAAAAACAACAATTTCCATTTATATCGGAAGTTGTCAATAAAATGTCTGTTCACTGCTTCGCGTGACTTCTGTCGCCTAGGGGCCCCCATAGACCAAGCATGATTGAAAATTGCTGACCCCCAGGGTTATCGTTTTTTGTTTTCAATTTTTGCATGATACTTTCGCGAACGGGTTCTTAATTATATTAGTAATATTAGTATGGTTTTAGGTAAACTTAAAAGCATAGGCATACGGGGCCGATGACTGTCAGGGGGCAGAACCCGAAATGCCCGAAAATATTTCTGGTTAGACAGGGTGGCGTCAGTCTTTAGCGAGAGGCGAAGGGTAGGAGCTTACCGTGTAGGGGTCTCCCAAGATAATTTGGAACATTTGACGACCGGCAACGCGTTTTCCGGCTATTCCAGCTCGTAAATACAGCAACTTCAAAGTGGTCTAAGATAGCCTATAATTTAGGTGGCTGACTCGAATTCCAATCAACGAATCAATCGTTTAAGAGTCCACCAAGTCCCCGTAGGGAGAAAATTTAACTGCCGCAAACGTGTTTTCATGCTTTTCCAGCCCGTGAATACAGCAATGTCTAAAAGGTCGATGCATGTCATTTTAGTGTCAAGAGTTCAGCGGGAACACGGAAACAGACGTAAACTGAAAGGGGCGGGGTTTAAAAACCCTTGTCATTACAATACTTCGGTGACTTTGAGACTAATATCTGGCTTTGTGTAATGCTTACAGGTACCACATCGTTCAAATGGGAACCGGGATTGAAAATCGCGATGATTCTCTCGGGACACGTCTAGTCGAGAGACCAGTACGGAAACCAGTAGAATTGAAAATACACGTTCCATGCAAATGAACAATTAATGCAATCCGTAGATATTTATTTCATTGCATAATAATTATACACTACGTTATATGGACAATACAGGGTTATACATAATTTACTTACAGAATGTACAGTTTAACAACATCCATTATCAGGAGAAAACAAATTAATAAACATAGACTGAGATAACAAAATTAATAAATTTGTACTTGTATAGGCCTATATTGAAGTGTTTTTGCAACTGCAGCAGGTATTGGTGTAAACATTAGAAATAATATTGTTTAGTACCCATCTCCCTTTATTATCAAGTTTTCTTCCTGTTCTCATGGGGAATCTGATTAAAATACAGATCTATGTTTCGTTTCATTATACTTTCAATATCCCCCACAACATGAAGATCTGATCGGTAGTAGTTGAAGGTCGCGTCAGAGGTCATACAAGTGACATTTTGCCCTATGACGTTGGTCATTCGATGAACTAATCAGCGCCCGTGTTCCAAACGGCTATTCACATATACAACTTTTGCTTTCTTTTCAATCGCTGCGAATGTCTAAGCAAAAACAACATGTTTTCAAATGGCGGTAAAATTGAATACGCTTCGCGCACTTACTTAATATCATTAAGCCATCATTGCCACGACATGTAATAAAGATATGCCAAGAGATGTAGGAATCAACAGCGATTCTAAACTTGGACCGTCATTAGCCCATTATAAACTCAGTTGAAGTACTCTAAGCAAAAGCTTATTGCTGCAAAAATTATTCATAAATTATAACCCATGTTTTTGCCATTTGAAGTTAGTTTCTGCTGATTTTAAGCTTTCATCTTTAATATTATGCTTCTGTAAACACTGAAAATATGTTTAAAAGACATGATTAAAACTAATTGTTTTAATAACACTTTCCGGTCCTTATTTTTGATTAATGACGTTTGATATTGACCCTCTTCTTACCTGTTGTTTTCATTCATTCCGGTTTACTTTCTATTAATATACGGATGATATCTTTAAATGTTCAGATACTTTTTTAATTCGAACTTTCTAAATGTAGTTTAATGCTGTCAACATTCGGTCACCATACCCACATATTTACCGAATGTTGTTGAGATGCAGCTCTGCCCTGTCCAGGTTAACGTCGTTTGAAAACATCTGAATAAGGGTCACTAAAACAGTATGTTTTTCCAATGCCGTTAAACATATAATAACCACGCATGTAATAATCATACCATTTGGGCATTTAGATGAGAATGTAAAAAGATATTAAAGCACAATTACTGCTATATAGTCTATAAACCGTAGTTGTAATATTTGCATTGTCCGCCTACCATTTGTATTATAGCCTTGAAATTTACATTTGAACTGTTTACAAAAGAAAATAAGAAAAAAATAAATAGTGTTATAATGCCCCGGTTTAAACAAATTCTATAATCTGTGGGAATTTATATAGATGTACCAAAATAAAAATCTGGACTGAGAGACATAGCATCTGTACCACCTAGCGATTTACTCCGATGTCGGGGACCAAGTTCAAAGTTCAACGACTTTAGTACCCGCGGATTGTAACTTTTTGGATCCGATACCATCTTCAAAAATAAGTTTCTACGTAGTCGCGCTCTTTGTAAATTGCATCTCTGGTTATCGAAGATTATGTTATTGTCGAACTCGGGGAAGACTTCGTCATCTTCTTCATCGGCGAAGCTCTCGGTGCTGGAGTTATCCAGAGGTATGTTGCTATCAAAACGACTCAGTTTTCGAGCTAACATGTCAGTTGCAATGATAGATATGGTTTTCCAAGCAAATCGTATATCCTCCTGAGAAGCACTTTCTGCACAGATAGCAAACCTAATGACGTAGTGCTCATTTATAAGAGCCGGTACCATGTGAAGTTTACCAGATTCGTTGATTATTTTCAACAGTTTCTGTGTCAAGGAATTGCTACCCTATAAAAAGAAGACAATATAGTTCCGATTAGCAGAAATGTAAATTCATTGCCCCCTTCTCCACTCCCCGAGGCTTTGTGTATAAAACCCCAAACTTAACGATACGAAAACTTACTATTACAGTTTATTTAGTCCTTCGGATGAGACGAAAAACCGAGGTCCCGTGTAAACATTGGAATGCACGTAAAAGATCCCTTGGCAGTTGGAATTCGATGTAAGAGTAGGCGATAGTGCCGCTGCCCGGGCAAAATTTCCCTCATAGCACACTGTATGGCGTATGCCCGTCTTCATTAGCCCAGTATAGGAGCAGAACAGTAGGACGTTAAACCCCATTTCATTTCATTTCACTTCATTGAATATAAGGGTTATTTATATGATAAACCTGGGAATTTATTTGGTACTATTTCGATTTATACCACACCACCCTCCCGGGTTATATTTCACAATTTGAAACCATTTTTATACGCCAACCTTGAAATGTCATCGTATATTGTCGTCGCTACCGTCCGTCGGTCTGGCGTCCACAACTTGAACAGCTGAATCCATGATATTAAATGTTTTATATACTAAACGTTAGCATGGGTTAGAACAAGAAGCCAAACAAATTCTAATGCTTTTCTGATAATTATTTAATGAGCTGTTACTCTTAGTAAGATTTTAGTGTTTCATTACCGAGAAAAGAAAAATATGCAACAACTCCTGTTGACGACTTAGCTGCTGTGGGTGTATGTTTCGTTGCCTGGCAACTTATCTTGATGTTATAAGACGGCTATTCTATAAATTCGTTAGGGGTTGGCATTGAACCGATGTAATAACCACATGCTTTGAATTTCACGTGCACAAGCTAAGCATTGGTTGATGCCGGATATTACACACCTTAGGATTATATCTCCTACAGCAACAATTGATGTTTTAAGGTGGATCAACCGTCTGTAAGGCCATTAGTGATTGATATTGAGGTAATATTAACCGCCAATAACACATGCTTTGAATTTCACGTGCACTAGGTAAGCAGCAGGTGATAATCGTTAGAGTTTGTGTCGATGTGTAAAGTCAGTAGTAACCTATTCCACGGTTGTTATTCCAAATAAACCCCGCGGGATCCACACTCAGGGTTTTTATTTTGACTATCAACACTGAAAGTGGTTGCTATCTACTACATACATTTATCGTTATAGTCAATAGTGTAGAATCCATAGCATCACTTACCTTTAATCTAAAACAAACCAATCCCATGGTTACTTTCCCTAGTACTTCAAATCTGTTGTCTCCTGATACCAACGTTTCAAATAATTTAGCCAATCGACAGTGCTATAAATAATTTTAAACACGATTTCTCAATGAACCAAATATATAAAATTTGTAAAGGAGATAATCCATTTCTAAAGAGATCACACATAATCATACATGTTTGTTCGCCTGACTGATTAAGCCGAATATTCCAATAAATATCCTAGACCAAGAAATATTATTTTGTTAACATTAAGTTAATTACTGGTCTTAATATGATAGTAATTATTGTGAGCCTAACCGTACTTACCTCCCTTATTCTATGTTGCAGTCCATCAACGCCATACGTTCTTATAACAAACCATAATTTTAGCGCCCGGAATCGCCTACTCAGTGGTATACCCCAGTGCTAAAATAATACATACATAAAATATAATAAATTATGTTAAAAAAGGATAAAACAAAATTCAAAAGTCGGAAATGGTGATGAGTCAGAATTAGTCCAACGGAAGGCCACCTGGCACATAGTCCGACAAGCGTAGTCGGCGACGAACAGTATCCTTATTGATGCATCCATGTTGACCCAGTAGCATCAGAATTAGAAACTAACAGCAAGATATCCGGCATATGTTGCCGGTCGATGTGCAGTGCTTTACACGCGTGGCTGTGCAGGTTTTGGCTGATTTGTAGTTGACCATGTCTGCTGGGAAGGATCGACCAGTCTCGGATTACACGTGATGGCATCCAAACCTTCAGGTGACGACATGATGCGTTTTCTGTATTAAAATTTCAATCTTTGCATATTGTTATGTCTTCCACCGAACTGTAGGAATTGTACTGACCCAAGCCACATTTTACATCCCATGTCTGCGCCATAAAATCTGCGAACGAAGTCATTTATTTTTTTTTTGTTTTTGAGAGAATTGATCTCTGGTCCGTTTACGTGATTGAGAAAACACCATTCTCATACCGTAATCTGATGATGTTACATTCAGAATTACAGGATTATGTAAATGACGTAACGTGTCCTGATGTATATGTATGAAATATTAAATCATAAATAAATGTTAATATTTGATGGCTACAGAGATAACAACAGAGCGCAAAATTCAAACGCATAATTCTCAATACTTAAATTAATCAGATTCGTCGGTCCGCCAGACAAGCAACGAACAAGATTTAATTGTCCATGTATAAAAGTGGTGCGTTTTCATTAGCTTCAATTTTTATAGGCTGTTCTTAATTACTGTATTCTGAAATTTATCAATACATCTACATTTACCGTAAGTCAATAACTACTCCGAAGTCTACAATTCTAGTTTCTATAAGACCATAATTACCCCGAAATCTATAGCTCTATTACTATTATGTTTATATTTTCTATAATGCAATAATTACCCTGAAGTCTATAGCTCTATCACTATGTTTATGTTGTAAATATAAAGGATCAACTGTCATGGCCATTGTTAAAGCATCTTTATCTTTTACCCTGTACAACAAAAATAGAAATAAATAAACTAAGAATACTAGGATATACCTTCCCAGTAACCCAACCACGAGATACAGGTCTTTAATTTGACCCCCCCCCCCCCACAAAGTAGTCTAATTTATAAACAGACCATTTTATCATTTGTTTGAAATGAGATGTGATTTAACGACGCCCTACTTTACTGCATCGGACCAATGAAGATTAGGCAAACGCCATGCTATGAGGGAAATTTTGCTCAGGCAGCAGTGTTTCTGCCCACTCTTCATCGAATTCCAGCTATCAGTGGTTCTTTTACGTGCACACGGGACCATGAATAAACGCCTAGATGCTTATCTTTGCCAACACCTCAGGAAAATCCTGGCCATCACCTGGTTAGTGATCGAGTCAACACCTTACACACTGAGCCACCGTGGCTGCCGTGATTATTTCTTCATCACCTGAGACAAATTTTAACACAAAAATGTATTCATTGCCTTCCTATATCTGCAATTAAATCCAAAATACTTACCAAAACAATGAACAATCAAAATTAACCTGTAACCATTTATTAGTGTTGAAGTTTATTGAGTTTACTTTCTGTTTAAAGTAGAAAATATGAAAATGAATTACCTCTAAGTCTCATAAAGATATTGTTCTAAATGAATTACTTCTTAGTCTAGTTAAGATATTGTTCTAAATGAATTATGTCTTAGTCTAGTTAAGATAAGATTCACACGAACAATTTAGAATATTAGTTTTATTGAGATTTATCACTTATAAATGTTTGGCACAAGTTAGTAAAAATTAAGTCGACTTAAACTGTGGGAAATGGTAGTCGAGCTATAAAGGCACTAGACTCTCAAATAGAAAGTTCCGATTTCGAATCCCCAAGTGGATAGAGAAGAATCTCTGGTTTCGTGGTGCCCGATTCCCACTTGTCAAGGGTAGCGACCATGGGGTGTTACCGTACCTTTCCTTTCCAACCCAGGAGCAAGCATCAAAGCTAACTCACAATTTTTCAATGGACCAGCTCTATATGTATTTATTGAAAAGATCACAACTCTGCACAAATATATTGTGTGTAGTTCTGAAAAACAATCCCAGGATCAGAGAGAGAGAAATGGGGTTTAACGTCCACTCGACTCAAACTATGTCATTTCGGGACTAACATACGGTTCAATTTTATTTCAATAATTCGCTTACGCGTAGGGGTCTTTAGCAGTGGGAGGAAACCGGAGGACCCGGAGAAAACCCACGAGGTTGGACCCCAGGATAACACCCTAAATACGTTGCAATACTCGGAACAACATACCTCTATTCCTTTTAGTAAATGTTGGAATTCAGGACATATCAAAGCATTACCCGCATACGCTGCATCAACATGGAACCAAATATTCTCATTAGCACACACCTCTCCTAGTTCAGCTAGATTATCAAAAGAACAACAGGCTGTGGTGCCTAGGGTTCCACTTACCTGTAAAGAAATAACGAGTATATAATTTATATGAATTGATTTATTTTATCACAAATGTATCTTTTAGATGTAGAATTCCAAGTTAATATTGTCTCCCTTTTTACAAATTCAACGAGTGATCATATCTGCTTTTAAAATTGTTTATGAATAAGCTGAAAACTCACAAAGAAAGGGATTAGACCAAGTCGTCTATCTTCTTCGATAGCTCGTTCCAAAACATGGCCTCTCAGGGCGAAATTTTCATCAACATCCAGTTGTCGCATCTTGACAAATCCAATCATCCCAGCCTTTTCTACACAAGAGTGGGCCTTCAAATGATAATGATATTAAATAAACAATATAGCCGTTTAATGTTATGTTTTGTTACGCAACTGAACACCCTTCGGTGAACGAAAACATCTTATTTGAATTGGTCAAAAATAAAGTTGTCAATTTAATTCCATATGTCTTCGTTTGAGACGTCACATCTATAACAAACGCAGTGTCACATCCGATTATCCGAATACAATGTTTTATTTTTACATAAATTAGCGCTTTCAAGATAAAGGGAAAAAAGCAATTGCAAATAATATCTAAAAAACTAAAAAAAAAACTAATTCAACTGACCAGTTTAGAAGAATAAGCTACCAATTTAGACACCAATATTCCATCTTCGGTATAGGGCAAGCGACTCTTCAGCTGTCGTATAGCAAGATGTCTAGCAACCAAAAGAGATACCAATACACATTCACTTGCTGATCCCTGTGGTGTATACAAATTAACTATCAATTTTAGTAGTAGCAGAAATAGATATCAAAGACAATATATAAATACCTAAAATTATTCTGCTTACTGCAGTTTAAGATCCAATGTAAGCTTGCGAAACAATTAAGTTAGATATATTAAAATTAAATATTCAACGTGGTCTGACCAACATATCTCAAAAGAAAATGCAAATGAAAAAAAAACCCTTCTCAGCAGTGAGTAATATTTTAATCAAATATACAGAATATCAGTATGTTGTTTAAAACTTCATAGTACTGTAGACTAAAGAATACAGACAATTCCCTCTTTAAAACATACATACTATAAAATTATACGCGCGTATTAAGAGAGTGCGATATTGTTTACCTGTATAACACCACCACCGTCTCCACCTTCATGTAAAAACTCCCTCGGTAGACCGATCATTTTACCTAGAATAATTAATAACTAAAACCATGAATCTCAACAATAACGTAAGATCAGTATATTAATTGGTAATTCGAGACACACAAATGGTAAGCTGCTAGGAGTTGGATCTGTTGTATGGCTCTTGGGAGCTATTTTTGGGAGCGTTGACAGTAGTTCATTGTCATTATAAAGCCCAAGATCAATGTCTACATTATGTGATAATGTCTCAAACATTTGCACCTTATTCTAAAGTGCCTATACCAGACTAAAATATGTGACAGACGAGAAATGTGGAAGCCTATAATACTTACCCATCCAGTCCATTACTATTGTTTCTAATTCAGTACAAGCAGGACTAGCAGCCTGAAAGAAATGGAAAGTAGTTCTTGGAAAAACAATCAGTGTGTTAAAGATCTAGGCATATGTATTTTCATGAACTTATTTTACAAAAATGAACATAGATAACTAATATTCTAATGAAGAGTGTATCTTACCCATGAGAAGCCTATACATCCTATAGCGTTTGATAACATATCACCTAAAATAGAAGGGTAGGAATTACCGGCAGGAAAATAGGCATGGAAATTAGGATGCTGCCAGTGAGTTATCTGAAATAAAAACCAAAATAAATTCCATGAACAACCATTCAGAATAAATCATTTCCATTGTTTAGTCAGTATTATGCTCAAATTTAAAGTATGTCTGTTAGTTTTATCCATTGTTTAGCATTACAATTTTTCCATTAAGAAAATGGTTGGAGATATGCCAAATGCCAAACACCTCGCCATTTATATCTTTCGGGCGTCATCATGTTCTGTTTTTCTATACTGCACAAGATCTAAATTATATCATGATATCGACTGCACGATGCACCCTGTCTTCGGTGGGTTTAGTGGACGGCATTTTAGCGTTATTGGAGCAGATGTGATTTCATTAGCTGTTCACAGTACACAACTTAGGACACGTCATGGTAAGTAAAATACAGACTATAAAACGGATAACAAATCCAAAAACATTTTTAATGTACAGCAGCATCCTCCCCCCCCCCCCGCGAGATGGAAAAACAAAACTGTTTTAGAAACATTGTTATTATTCTTTCAGTCTAGCGTGCTCACCCCTGGCATTATTGCTCTGTCCACATCTTTCATAATATCATTGAACTCTTCCGGTTTCTTGGGTGCTTCTTTGGGTAGTAGTTCTGCTAAATAGCCCGGCTCCACTTCAGGTGTAACTCGCCTTCTATGCAGGGTGTCCATATAATCAGCAATATAATCTACTAACTCTTTTCCGCGTTTACGAAATTCGTTAGATTGCATGGCTCTGGAAAACAATTAATACTATTTAGTATTTTTATGTTCTTCTTGGCTAAGGAACTAAAGGTAGAAAATAGAATAAATAGAATCAAACAAAACCACGAAAGCGTGGAAATGCGCTCACAGCACAGCGGTGTCTCGAAAAAGGGCTACGCGTGGTGGGCTGGGGGCGGGGTGAATCCGTGGAACGGAAGGTTGCAAAATGCTGAAAATCGATAGGGTTCACCCTCGCAGGCTTCATACTTAAACATACATTATGCAAGAGCTAAATCTCTCTATTGCAGGTCTTTCTTTAGGCCTGAAATGTTATCTAAATTATTAATTAGACATTAATTAACTTATCCAGACCATAATCAACTCTAGATGGCATCGCTAGCCTGCGATCTTAAGTGGATTGTGAGCCGATTTACTGCATAACTTTCCTTCTCGATTAAACGATAAAACGGGTAATCGAGACTATGCTGTTTATCGTACTGACTTAAGTAATGATGACCGAGGCTAGGCAGAAATTTCATTCGCTTAGTTCTCGGTTCATAGTGGATCAATTTGAATGAAATTTTCAGCAAATTGCCTTTACGTTATCTAGTTTTTAATTATTATAGTGAGAACTGCCAACTCGTTATCGAATCTCCCATAACGTATCTTTTGGCGGACGGACAAGGTGACGTCACTATACGCCCACAATGAAATCAAGTTAAACAGTACCAACCGTTGACGTTCATATTATAAGATGTAGTCATATTTAAATAGTGTAATAATTATAATTTATAATACAAATTTCCCTCCTTTAACATTTCTATGATTTTGCGAGTATCGATTTCCTATAGGTCGGTAATACATTTAGTTGCACTAAAGCCAACCGTTTCGGAGATTTCGTTGATTTTCTAGTCCACTGGCCGCCATCTTGGAATTATGTTAATTATGCAAATTTTCCCAAGACCAATAATGGCTGCTTTTGTGATGGGAGTACTAGAGATCATACCTGAACAGTTCCCAAAGAAATGATTTCTGTTGCCGTTTGTTCTAGTTCCCCCCTCTCATATTGTTATCTCTACCCACCTATTATATTGTTGTGTCGCAGTTGGCTGTCCCGACAGGCAGGGATATGGATAGATATGTCATAGATTCCCACAAAAAAATGTCTATAAGTGATAAACATAGATTTTGTTTTTAACGAAAAGTATAGATGAACATACTATTATTATTATAGGCCTACAACGAAAAGCGCACATAATTGTCATACCTAATTGAATTCATAAGAAAAATCAAAATAAAAGATACACAAGATAAAAGCGCTATTAAAGATAGTTAACTTGCATACGCTTTTAAAAATCCGAGTTTTTGTACAGACGTCTAGCCTGCAAAATAAAATGCTCGAAATTCCATGATTTTTTGGTCTGCAGCCATTCCGGATTGTGTGACCGCATTCGGCCATCGATCATTTATTATATCATCAATATTTCGGCAGTCGAAATTTCTTTAATTGACTAAAGGATAAATCATTTAAAATCAATGTAATTTAAATAAAAAGTGTGTATCGCCACGCTGCTCTTAGTGCGACATGTGTTTTGGGCATGTTTGTTTCATCAGTGAAAGTTCTGGTGACATGTGAATGCAACGACAACAGCCTTGTTTATTGATTTGTTGATTGGACTTCAGATCTCTTCATTATAATGGACCACTTTGAGGTTGCTATATTCACGTCCTGAACTACGTAGCAAGAAAACGCGTTTTCCGGCTTTAAATTTTTATCAATCTTGTGGGAGAGACAGGCCCCGACAAATTCACCGACGGCGTGTTTCACGACTTCTGCACTCGACGGTGACCTTGAATTCAGAGACATCTAAATCCATTTAAAAGACATAGTAAAAGTCAAATCTTACGAGATTATCGCCGCTTATATCGGAAAAATGCCATTTTAGTGCTAAATCTGATTAGGCTATTGGAACAATAGAACAAGCTCACCTTAGATGATTAATATCTACACTCAAGTTAAACCAACTGTATATATTTTTTAAAATCTTACGTCTAACTGAAACTACATGATATGTTGTCATTAAAACAACAATGACTGGTTAACAGCAGCCACGTGTGTAATTAAAGACTATAATAGGATCTTTGTAGAAATAATCATATTAATTAATTTAAGGTATCATACGGTTGAACATACCTCCCAGGTAGCTTCAAAGACATAATATAAACCAAGATATCAATACAAACTTTAATTACAAATCCAGTCCTATACTACAAACAAGCCATAGCAAGAAATCCAGATATTTAAAGCGTGTTAACAATATATTCATTTAAGAGAAACTATGTCATTTTGGGATTAACATATCGTACAATTCATATTCATTTGACGATCGACCTCCTATTTACAAAAGTATGGTTTATGCGCTTACGCACAAATTTGGTGTATGACAATCCTATTTGAAACTAATTTTTGAACCCAATATTGAATTCAGTAACCCTAAAAATCCTTTTTTTTGTTTCTATTTTGATTGTCGTTTTAAATTTACACCTCCTGGACCATTCTTGATTAGTTTTTTTTAGATAGAGATTGAACCCAACAACCACCAAGCCCATATATAAAACACATAAGAAGCCATATCCAATGGAAAAAAATGACGGTTAATTAAAATTGTAACAATATCTTAGTGATAACAGAGATCAGGTTAGTAAATACAGCATTTATTTACAACGAGAACAGAATATAGCACATCTACATACAAAATAATACAGGAACTTAAACTACATCGGGAACTAGTCTACGACGGGAACACATAGAACAATATTAAATCCTAAATTCTGCCCCTCTGCCAAGGCAGCGCCAAACTCGGGTGAGTCCATGCACTCGTCCAAGCCTCTCTTCCCCGCCCGTCTGTGGTCATCTGCCTAACTGCCAGTAAACTCCTGATTATATAGCGCCGGAGAATACATATGCTCATAATCATACATACATAAGTTTTAGTGAGACTGAAGTTCCAACATACTAAAGGGACTATGCAGATTTTTGTTAATTTTGTACATTTTGCCATAGTGGCTTGCGCACTGCCAGTTGAAAAGCCCTGATTTAAACCACCCTGTGTTTCCTTTAGTAGATATTAGATCCTGTGCAATGATAAATATTTTATTGTCCATTTTCACTTTTTTTTTTTCAGATACCAAAAAGCATGAAAGGGTTTTTCGAACTAATGCAGTCTTGAATATGTTAGATGATTCAGATTTGCAAAATGGTAGCGATACAGAAGCAGCTCTGAAACTGATGACAGCGACTCTAGTGATAAAGAGCATTTGTCCTCACATGACGATAAACGAATAGTTGTGTGGAGGGAAAATCCACCAGTTTATCCCTTTGGATGTTCCGGTCCTGTCCAAACCTGATTTGGATCAAAACCATCAGAATTGGTCACCAGTGGATTATTGCAAGTAATATCTAGATTGTGAATACTATGGAATGATGTCGAAAAAAAACCAACATAAAATATCTTCAAGATAATGGAAGAAACCTGAATTCTACCGCATTAGAGAAGCAGAAAATTTACGGTGTTAACATGTTAATGGGCTGTTATAACCTGACTAGAATCAGGATGTATTGGCAGAAAATGCTCGAATTCCAGTGGTGGCGGAGACTTTAACCAGAGATCGATTCTTTACATTAAGGAATAATTTAAAGGTGGTTGACAACAACATGTTCGATGACTCCATGAAAAATGCTGATCGTTTATGCAATTCATTGCCCATGTATCCAAATTTATGCATTAATGAACAAATGGTCCTGTTTACTGGTAGATGTCCTGTTAGACAGTATGTGCCAAGAAAACCTAATCCTACAGGCCTAAAAAATTTTGTTTTAGTTGGGGAATGTCGAATTGTCTATGACTTTGATTTTTATTGTGTCGAACAGTCGTATAGAAATTATACATTGTATGGCAAAAAAAGTAGGTCAAGGAGTTGGCAGTGTTTTGAAATTGTCTGAAAGGCCGCGTAGATGTGACAGACTTTTTTGTGATAGATTTTTTTATTTCTGTTCCTCTTATATCTTATCTAAAGAGAGAGAGAGAGAGAAATGGGGTTTAACGTCCACTCGATGCAAACTAAGTCATTTCGGAACTAACATGTGGTTCAATAATTGTTTCTATAATTCGCTTGCGCGTAGGGGTCTTTAGCAGTGGGAGAACACCGGAGGACCTGGAGAAAACCCACGAGGTTGGACAGGCGACCCTACTCCTTGTCGCGTACAACCGGGGAATCGATACCCCGCCAGTTGAATCAATGACAGACTTTATGATATAGCGCGCACGTGCTAACCATTCAGCCATCCAACCCCCCCATATCTTATCTAAAAGATACGGGTATTCTTCTTACGGGAACTATACAAAATCGCTTTATTCCTCACGGGGTTAAGTTCAGTGTAGATAGAAAAATGAAATCTGAAGGCAGGGGTATTTCTGAACAGTTTGTACATGATGATATTGCTATTGTAAAATGGTATGATAACAAGGCTGTTATAATGGCACCTTTAGCTTATGGATTAGAACCTCAAAACACATGCATGAGGTGGTGTCGGAAAACAAAGACAGGAATAGAGGTTGAAAGGCCCGCAGTAATAAAGGCATACTATACATCTATGGGGGGGGGGGGGTATTTGCGTAACCAAATAATTAGTTACAATACAATTGGAATGCAATTCCAATCCCCTCAAAATCATGCCGTCTCAGTTCAAAACATCTGCCAGAATGTGTTGACTTAAAAGAATGCATGTAGACGCAGGAATAGAGGGTGCACGGGCAAATCACGCGCCAGGTGTTGCAGGTGGGATGTTTTCCTCTGCCTAACATCAAGTAGGAACTGTTTTAAGGCTTTTCATACCTAAAACATTTTAATTACATGTAGGTATTAGAATGGAGAATTAAGGGTGGTTAATACTCAAATTTTATTGTTATTCACTCCAAAGATGCCAGTTCCAAAACTAATTGTGATTGTTTTTTTTAGTGCCAAAGTAAT